TTTAAAAATTCAAGCACCTTAGACATCTGCTTCATAAAAATACGAGTTCCCACAAATAATTTTTTTAAAATTCGGATAAGTGTCATTTCAAGATAGTTTAATTAAATCTATTAAAATTACAGACGAATTCTGTATTAGAAACTTTCTTTTATACCTTAACAAAAGACGCAATTACTGCCGAAGGTGTGATATTACAATTTAGGTTGATAAATGAAGATCTCTACCAGTGGAAAAATGTTAAGTTATACACTATTCTTTATATAATATAAATAATAGTGTGGTTAAAAATTAATTAACTAGGTGAACCTTACAAGACCTCACGTTTGTGAGTTATTACATTCGTAAGTATTGAAAAAAAAACAACAACTTTAGGTTGAGCTATAAAAGCCTGAAAAGTAAAATGTCGCAAATTTGGTTGATAAATTAATATCTCTAAAAATACAAAAATAAATACTTGAGGTTACAAAATAATAACCTAAGGTAAAACATGGAACACCTCACGTTAATAAAACATAACTTTTACAATTGTCAAAAAATTCATTTTAGGTACCTGGATATATCCTGATAATAACCTGAAGTGTAAAATGGCACATCTAATGTAGATAAATAAATACCCTAACAACTCTATAAATCCACACTTAAGGTTGAAAAACATTAATCCAAAGTAGAATATTAAACACCTCACGTTCATAAGAAACAATCGATCCAACGATCAAAAAATACACTTTAGGTTGATCTATAATAACTTAATGTGTAAAATGACGCACCTTAAGTTGTTAAAAAATACCTCTACAAGCATAAAAATATATACTTGGGGTTGAAATATAATAACCTGAGGTAGAATATAAAACACCTCATGTTATTAAAAAATTACCTTTACAATTGTCAAAAAATTCACTTTAGGAACCTGGATATATCCTGATAATAACCTGAAGTGTAAAATGGCACATCTAATGTAGATAAATAAATACCCTAACTATATAAATCCACACTTAAGGTTGAAAAATATTAATCCAAAGTAGAATATCAAACACCTCACGTTCATAAGAAACAATCTATCCAACGATCAAAAAATACACTTGAGGTTGATCTACACCGTAAGTTGTTAAAAAATACCTCTACAAGCATAAATATATATACTTGAGGTTGAAATATAATAACCTGAGGTAGAATATAAAACACCTCATGTTATTAAAAAATTACCTTTACAATTGTCAAAAAATACATTTGAGGTAGATCCAGAATGTTGAATAAATACTTCCACAGGAGTAGAAAAATATATTTCAGGTTGATAATTGATAGCCTATGGTTGAAAACAAAACACCTTATAGTAGAAAACATCTACCTCTCCACCGTAGTAAGATAAAACACCTCAGGTTGAAACATATATACCTCTGGGGGTATATTTGAGGTATTCATTTGCACCCTGTTCAATCTAAAGACGGATTTAAATAATAACCTCATTTATACCCCTGAAGAATACCTTAATTTTTCCATCAGGGTTGGTTCATTGATACCTTAGTTCTATTTTTGATTCACAGAATTTTTTTTTTATAGACACCGTAATCAATTACTCATTAACCTGATTACAGTATAATCAATATTGCCTGTACTCGTATATTGTGATAACTTGTAATCATAGATTTTGATTACATGTAACAATTATTACTTGTAATCTTCTCTTTACGAATTTGCGATTAATCATAATTATTTGAATTCACAAATACAATTTTAACCAAAATTCAGATAAGTTATTATCATGATTGTAAGTAAGCGATTATTTTTTTTGCCTAACTTAGCATCAGAAGTACCCGAGTATATTTCTACAGTTTGTGTGGCTGTGTGCATTGATATTTGGAATACCAAAGTATTGATTCTACCCATACTGTCCCAATAATGTATTAGTACTATTGTATGCAATCGAAAAAGTAACAACTCTAATTTTTGATTATGTATCAGCTAAGAGATCTTGATTGTAATATTTAATATTCATTTGTGTTTTAGCAAGCCTAAATTGCCAGTTTCTATAATTATACAGGATGTTCCGTAATAACCACACTGATAAGATGGAAGATTTCTCTTAACTGACAGATTAAGGTGAAAACTTTTTTGTATAATATTGCACATTAAACAGAAAAAAAATGTATTTCTCTACAAAAAAAATTAGTTGTTGTAATAGAAGTCTTGAAATTTTCAACTCGTTATAAACATATAACATTTGTACCTTTATTGTTTGGTTTTTGGCAGTGACTTGGAAATTCGTCGTAATAGTAAATTTCTCGTAATATGCTGCCCTTGTTATATTGAGCTTTTACTGTACTAAAGTAAGCTCGTACCGTATATTTTATTTGTTATCAATGTACCTGGATTTGATTTACATTCATAAAGAGTGTTACTTTGCATAACCCAGATCATTTTTGACAATGCTGCTACAAAGATTGAGAAAAAAAAAACTGCAAGTTTTCATGGGAAGGGGTACACAAAGTCTATACACTAATGTCTAATACATAGAGAAGAAGAAAAAAATCGTTTAAATGATCGAATTTTCATGCACTAAGTGCTAATTTTATGGTCTCAAAGGTATAACTGTAACCATGTTAATGAATTAGTGATAGTTATAAAATAAGTTTCTAATTCTTGCAGTTTTGTATATGTTCCAACTTGAACAAACATCTTTTGATGAATTTAGATTTTCAAAATACAGAGGAAGGGGAGTGGCTGATATGTCTTATTACTTTAACAGGATGAGTGGTTAAAATTTGAACCCTATATGCTTACTTTTTGCTTTTTCACAAAGTCCCTGAAGCTTTTTAAGTCAGTCAAAAACTTTTTGCCTTCAATCATAAATTTTTTTAATTCAAATATAATTCCATGTAAAAAAAATTTATAAGTATATTTTTATCAATTTATTTAATAAGGACAACAATACTTCTAATTGTACCATGTACAAGTTTTTGCATCTTTTCAAACTATGTAATTTTTACGGAAACAATTCAAAATTTGAATGAAATCGGAATGAATTCTTAATAATAGTTCATAGTTGCGATTCATTTGAGTTATGATCTGAAAATTTCTGGGAGGAAAATAAAAATATTTCTTAACACAATATGATCTTAACATTCAAGGACTCAACCTTAATGGTTCGGGGGAGGGTGGGGGGCTGAAACATCTTCAAAGATGTTATAAGTTATTAATTAATAATAAATTTTGGAAAATCATTAAAATTGAATAATTAAAAATCAACTTCAAAATTTTTTTCCTTATAACCGTCATGGCTCAGTCGGCCCAATTTTGGGCTGATGACAACTAATGTTCAACTTCGCAGCTTTGTAATTATGTATTGTAATTATTACATTTATTGTAATTATTACATTTTGTATTTTATTCTTGGCGTATGAGCCTAGAGACCTGGGTCGCCGTAACTCATTTCCTTTATTCTACTTGTAGTTTTTTTTTTGCTGAATATATTTTATTTTGCATTTACTTGATATATGTTCTATTTCATTCCAATATTTTTGGGTGCTCCTCACACTATTGTATAGATATATTTTGCTTTGGCTATGTTAATACAATATCAGAAAGCACTCTGTTTTCTGGGTATAATCGCATGAGAGTTGATGACGAGATTATAACGTTTCATTATTTTGCTTTCCGGCTTTTTAATTTAAATTTTTTTTAAAAAATAACTTTTTATCTTCTCATAATTTTTAATATCTTTTCCATGTTTTCTCTATATTTTTAACTTTTAACTATATACCCCAGCTGTAAAATAATTTGGGCCTTCATTTGAGCAATATTCATGAATATTGGCTCAATAAGGTTTCTATTTAAAAATATAGAGAAAACATGGAAAAAGATATAAAAAAAAAATAGATCTATATATAAATAAACATACATAGATACATAAACATACATACATATACATAGATTTATCTATATTAGATACCTTTTGTACGTAAATTTCTAAATTTATTAGTTTACCACTAAAGACCAGTTAATTAGTAACATATTATGTTTGTGAATTTTGTCTTATCGTAAAGTGTTAAGTGAGTAATTTCGACAAACCCTGTTTGTTTTTTTTTCTTCTTCAAGTAAATTATTTCTATTTAGTTTAACATTTGGGCCGAATCCAATTTTTAAATTACATAGAAATTGAAAACTAAAACATAAAATTCTTAGTAAATAATTTTTTTTTTGTTTTTAAGAAATTGAAAAATTAAATTGAACATCATTAAGATATTTATAGTTTATGTTTAATTTTATTTCTAAGTCATTTAAAAATTTAATTTAATTTTTAAGTAATTTAAATTATGTTTAATTTTATTTTTAATTAATTTAAATTTAAAAATGCAAATGAATATTATTTGTAAATGCAATGTTGATATTTTTGTTGGGTAATTTAAAACGTGGACACACAGGAGTGCATTTAAAAGGAAAATATAAAAAAAATAAATAATGAAAAAGTTGATGCCTTTGTAAATCAAACTTGTCATGTTGAGAGTTATGCGACATATGATGCAAGGGCAACTTCGTCAGAATCTAACATAGAATCTCGTGACACGCAACTCATGTACAGTTTCTTTAGTGAAGCTCCCCCCTATCCCTGCTGACAATTTTGTCTTTTGTTGTGCCTCTGGATTGCCTGGGTTGAGTCGCGCCTTGGGGAATTTAGTTGGCATCACAATTCACAAATATCCCCTTTCTGGTATAGGGTGTTAAAAAAAAAACTTTGTTTTTCTTAATTTATTGTCAATCATCTAAACCTTTGAAAGCTTTAAATCATATTGATGAGTATGAAAAAATGCACGAACTAAACATCTCGAAACTTTAATCCTTTAAGTATTTTTTGAGAAATTTAAAAAAATGTCAAACTCGAAGTGTCTCTTCCATTATTGTAGGGTAATGCATATTACATTAAAATTATTAACATTTGCTATAATATAGAAATAATATATAATCCAATCAGTCATAAATAATAAACTATTATTTCTGTTAATAAGTAAACATGGGTTAATAATATTTATTAGGTTTTTCACTTTCCCCATGATTTTGACCAATAAAAACCTAGTTTTCACTATGTCCTGGTAAAAACTGGTTTTTCCTCAGTAAAAACTCAACCTTGCAGAGGGTGAGACAAAAAAGCGTCATTGCCGCAAGAATTAAAATTAGCTTTAAGTTATTGAAATTTTTGTCGTAAAATTTGTAAGTATACATCGATTATTTCCCCCAGATTAGTTAAGTTAAAACACCTTTGTTGAGAATGTTTTACAATACACAGCAGGAATATAGTTTCTCACCACTATGAAACAAAAGAGTGTTTAACAAAGATACTTCTCCATAATGTTTTTATCACACACACTGCAAGGAATTAGGTCTCTCTCTAGCATGAACAAGAGATTACACAATTAAGAGACCCTTTTGTGTGACACAATTTTTATCGTACAGACTACATAAATTTTTCTTGAATGTGAACATAATTGTATCTTCCTATGAGACCATTTTACCACAAATACTTAAAGGCTTTTCTTCTGCATGAATAAGACAGTGTTGATTTAGTTCAGTTTTAATTGTGAAAGATTTATCACACACATTGCATGAAAAAGATTGCTCTCTAGTGTGAATAAGAGAGTGATCAATTAAGGTACCTTTCCGAGTGAATTTTTTATCACACACATTGCACGAATAAGGTTTCTCTCCAGTATGAATAAGAGAGTGTCCAATTAAGGTACTTTTCCGTGCAAATGCTTTACCACACACCTTGCACAAATAAGATTTCTCGCCAGTATGAACAAGAAAGTGTTCAATTAAGTGACGTCTTCGAATAAATGATTTATCACACTCACTGCATACATAAGGTTTCTCCCCGGTATGAATAAGTGAATGTTCATTTAAGTGACTTTTCTGTCTGAATGATTTATCGCACACACTGCACGAGTAAGGTTTTTCTCCAGTATGAACTCGTAAGTGCTGATTTAAACTTGCTTTATATGTGAAAGATTTATCACACACACTGCATGAATAAGGTTTGTCTCCCGAGTGAATAGACAAGTGATTCTTAAAATGACTAATCTGTGCGAATGTCTTATTACAAACACTGCATATAAAAGGTCTTTCAGCAGAATGCGTGAGAGAATGTTGCTTTAAATATCTTTTATGGGGGAAAGATTTATCACACACGTTACATGAAAAAAGTTTCGTTCTTGTATGGATAGAATAGTGTCGATTTAAACTTCCTTTCTCTGTGAATGTTTTATCACACACATTGCATGAATAAGGTCTCGAGTCAGTATGAATAAGCGAATGTTCCTTTATGTGACCTATCTGAGAGAATGTCTTATCACACATACTGAATAAATAAGCTGCTATTTATATTTTGAGCAAAGATAACGAATCAGATTTATAACCCAGAACAATTTGTCATATACACTGTATTATTAATGTTTTGTGCAAGAATTATTTTCACACAAAACATGACGAAAAATTTTTCAAATTTTTAAAGTAGCATTCAATGAGAATATTTCATTACATTCACTGCATGCATATGCTTTTATGAACAAGATTATGTAAATATAAAGAAACTGGCAGTATGAGTGCTTTACAACATGAATTGCAAAAATATGAATGACATATGAAATTTTTTATACAAATATCTGTTAAGAGACTCTAAATATTCTACTGCTTGACCAAAATAAAATTATTCAGACTCTATTTTTACAAAAAACAAGAAATATAAAGCTTTATTTTAAAAACTAATTTGTTCGATAATATCACCATAGCAACCAATGATACAACGTTTAACTTACAGCTTACATATACTTGAAAAATAAATAAATGAAAATCTAGCTTACAACTTGCATATACTCAAATAGTAAATAACTAAAATCTAGCACTTTAACATTGGCGATTGGAGACCGGCTTCATGCCTGCAGCCTTTCTCCCTTCCCTATCCTCCTCTTTTTATTTAATTAAAATATTTCTTAAAATTTCCGTGAAACTTTTCTTTAGAACTACGTTTAATGCAGTTTTCAGTTCCATATCGTTTTCCAACTTAAAAGATTTTAATCTATATGAAAATCAAGAGAGAAACTAACGTACTTCCATCCTTTATGACTCTCCACGCGCTAATGGGGAAATCATGTGAAGTGTTGCCATAGGTAGAGATTCTGTTCTACGCCACCTGCAGCCCATTCCGATCGCCAATTGCCGGGTTACAGGTAGCGTAGAGCAGAACTCTACCTATTCCAATGACAATACTTCGCATACTTTCATCATTAGCGTGTGGAGAGTTACAGAAGAAGGAAGTATGCTCGTTTTTGTCTTAATTTTGACTATGTGGAACTGAAAACTACAAACATAGCTCTAAAAGAAAGTACCATGGAAATTTTAAAAAATATTTTTATTAATTAAAAATGAAAAATATTAACAAGAATATAATTAAGAAAAAGTTGTTGTTGTTGTTCATTTACGTCGCACTAGGGCTATTGACGACGGTCCGGGAAACATCGCTGAGGACATGCTATCACAATTTTGATCCTCTGCAGAGGGGCTCCCCGCTTCGGTAGCCCAACGACGAAGTCGAGCACTTTAAGGTAGAACAGTTTAACGAGGATCAATACCGCACACCCTCGGTCTCTACGCAGACTGATCCAAGTGGTCACCCACCCGCATACAGACAGCAGCTATTGGCTTTTTGAAATTCGGAATGTCTGGTTTATTTTTCTTATTTTCACTGAAGGACCTTTCTTGAGCAATGGGTCCTGATGAGATATTTCCAATGGATTAATCTTACGTACTGGTCTATCCATTTCACCATTAACTGTTTTCACTCTCAACATCGGATATTTTTGTCTTTCCCTGAAAATATGGTTACGATCCGACCCAAATTTTAATCTATTCTGCTCTTATTGTCATTGCATGTCTTTTTATTGTCATGTGAGTATAGAAATTAATGGATATATGACTTCTTCTAAACATATGGAACTTTTTACCAGATTTCAAAATAGGATATGGAAGAATTTACCCCGACCCGCCCTTATTTAGGGCATACGGGTAAATGTTGCCCTAAATAAGGGCGGAATAGGATATAGTTATTCTTGATTTAATATTCATTATTATTATTTTCTGTTTTTAATTTTCAGAAAGATGACATATTTTTTAAAAAAAAATGAAATACAATTCCTAAGTATATTTATTGATCTGCTTCTAAAATATTCGATCGATGATTGATCCAATTTTAACTACAGATATTAATCTCGTTTTAATATAAAGGTGGTTTTTAAAATTTATTGATAACAATATAATATTTTAATACCATTTTATAGGGTATTTAACAAACTCTTTAGTGCGTATTTAGAATGAAGCGTCAAACAGTGACATTTTTTTTTTAATTTTTCGTTTGTCTAACCTTATATTTAAATACGTTTAAATTTGTGATTTAACTTTTTGATATGCATAAAAACGGTATTTTCATAATTTTTTCTCCAGTTTCACTACAAAAATGCTAAAAGAACTAGTAAGGAAAAAGATTAGTGAAAAATATGTTGCTCAATAATTTTGAGTTAAGTAAAAAAAAAGTTTAACTTTTATGCTTAGTTACGTTAAATGTTTTACCACAAAAAGAAATAAAATTAACTTTCAGTTTTTGAAATTTTTGTCGTAAAATTTGTAATTGTACATCGATTATTTCCCCCCAGATTAATTGAGTTAAATTATTTCATTCCTTCCCTCCCTCACACACCGAAAAAAACGATTCAGTGCAGAATGGGTGCACTGTAGCATTTGAAAAACGCCAAACTTGCGCCGGGAGAGGTTTTATGTGTGTGTTGTAAATGAATGCAGCAGTGTAATATATGATTAAAGTAAATGAATTTTATTTGATGTAAGGAACAAACATCAAAGCGTATTTAAGCGGTATAATTTGTATACGGTAAGAACTCCCCCCGACATAAAGTTTGAGGCCATCTTCTGCTATGGAAACAAAAACAGTTCATTTCAGAGAGGATTGCTTCCCTTCACTCTTGGGCAAGCACAATAGAACTCAGAAAAAGATTACTTTACTCTCGCCAACCCGTGCCAAAACCTGTGACCCCACGCCCCTACTCGAAACAGTTATACTTCGCTACTATAGTTGCCGTTACTGGTCCGGACGAATGGTTAGGGGAGTTCTGACTATAGACAAACTATAGACCCACGTGATTCTGTTAGAGAGTGAACGAGAATGAGTGGTAATTTTCCACCCATTCATGATCTTTCAGAATATCATGCATGGGTGTCATGCATTTTTCTTTGATTTAAAGTTAACTTATTTAGTGTTAACCAAACGAAATAAAATACCAATGAAATGCGTGTAAACTAAAAATATATGCTCAACAGAAGTAAAAAGAAGTGAAACGATACATATAATTTAAAAAAACTTATTTTTTCATTTTCATTTCACTAGAACTAGTTGAGCTCTTTATCAAAATTGTCACATAAAACTGTAGACTTTAAAATGGTGGAAAAATTTGTATATTTTATATTGAAAAACTGGTTCAACCAACCATTATTTAACAACTTAATATTTATCAAAAATCGTCTTATCTTTGGTATTTTCTTTAGATGAACAGATTTTATAATTTCGTGCAAAAGTTCTGCTCTTGCTTCAAAAACTTTTCTAGCCATAGCAAAATTAAAAAAAAAGAAGTGAAATTAACTTTTTTTTTTTTTACAATAATGTGGGAACTCAAAATTTTGATCTCTCTCCTGTCCAAAGTATTAGGACCATGGTTCTAGTAGAACATTCACGGCTACGCTCTCACTTTTAATAATAATCAAACATTCAAATCGGTCGGAAAAATTATAATTTTTTTTTAAAGAAAGTACATTTTTGTGACTTTATTTTGTGCATTTAAATATGATCTGCTCTAAATGACTAGCATAATACAAGTTACCTTTTTGAACCATTCATTCACTCCGAAGACACATTTAAAATATGTTTGCTGTTACCTAATTGTAAGATTTCTGGGATCAAACGAAATTTCAAAAACCTTTCTAGTAGCAAACATGTAAACAGTTATATTTTTGTTATTGTTATATTTGTAATTCTTATATTTTTTCGATGTTCTAAGTTGCGATTAAAAGGTTGATTGCTGTTATGCTTCTTTTTTCGTGTGAGGACGAGGACATTATAGCGTTTTTGTAATCAGAAGGAAAAATATTTTCACAATACGTTTTTAAACGCAACAGCCACATTTGGTGCTGTATGATTTTGCTTTAATCTTTATTTATTTTTTATTCCTATTACACTCGTTGGCACAGTGGTTTTTCCAAATTTGCTTCCCACAATTATTTTCCATTTTTCTCTGACAAATTTAATCTTATTCAAATTTGTTTGTTTTCCTCTCGCTTTTTAAAGTCTTGAGATTGGGAGCGTATTTCTGAGCGCTCCTGAAATGTTGATTTTAATTACGATCTTCATGTTTTTTTGAAGCTAGTGAAGCTTTCATATTATTGAGTATTAACTGTTATGCTTCGATATTACAACTCTTCACATATAAAATAATAGTAAAACAAAATGAGTCACAATACATAGAAATTTTGATATATTTACTGGCTAAATTGTTAAAAAAATTTTTTTTTAAATTTCTACAATACATAGGCATATTGCGAAACATTTTCCCAGTTATTTATCTTTTTACTTCATTTTTCATAATTTTTCGCTTTTTTCGTTGGAGACAAGGGGCGGGGGCGATAACACGACGACAATTTTTATTTTTATACATTTTTTTTGGCCTACTTTTTAATTTTATTGTTTTTAAAGAACTTTTAACACTGCACAGAGCAACTTTCAGAACGTAACTTTTCTCTGTTACTTTAAAGAGTAATTTGCAAAATTTTTTTCCACTTCCATTCTCTTTCTGATTATTTCATTAATATTTTCTTTTACTATACTATTATTGGCCATGATGCGATGATGCCACTAAGACCATTATTTTTCCTCTTGATACATTTCTTTTTTTTCTTTTTCTTTTCTTCTTCTTTTTGTTTCTTTCCATTCTAACTTTTTTCATGGAACTTTTAAAAGTGCATGGCACATTAGTTTTTTTCCTGAACTAATTCATATTTGGAAAGAAAACTTTCATCTGAGGACTTCTGAGGACTTTCATCTCCCCAGAAGGTACAACAAAAATGCTCAAGTGATAGCAAAACTTATACAATAAAATAAATGTTTTGTAGTTCAAAATATATCATTAAATTTTCTTGATCACCACTATAGTGTACCGAAGGGTACTTCTATCAATCCCTGAAAAGTACCGAATTATTCAGTTCCTTTTTACTTCTGTTGACTGTTTAATTATTTTTATTAACTGTATTCAAATTTGTATTTTTATTAACTGTATTCGGTAAATTTAAAAATATATTAACCCTTTCCACGTTGTTTCCACCATATTAACACGTCCCGAAGTTGTCAAGTACATTCTCGCCAAGTTTAATTTCGTCTGTGTTGATCTGGTTCTTTTTATTCTTTTGATTAACTCTTCCCTCACTTAATTCAGTTTGTAACGGGGCGAGCTGCGAAACACTGCAGATGTTAGGCGCATTTCTTTCAAGTTCCATTTCTAATTCATCCTCTATAGCCATTTGATTTACATAAACTCTTCCCTGGCTGAATTCTATTTCCTGCAGAGCGAGCTCAGAAATGTTGCAGATGTTGATTGCATTTACAACAAGTTTCACTTTTTCCAGCTCGTCAAGGTCGGTCTGGATCTCTTTATCCTCTTGATTGTAAAA